GACACTCAAATGTATTTTTCTAATGTACCACCTCATTCATACCTCTTCCTCTACAAATATCTCTCTTTAATTGAGCGGAAAGCATGTGACCCAACACCCATAAAATGATTTCCACACTTCTCCCTAACTCTCCAATCTGCTGGCTCTTATACTGGAGTGGACATTTTATTCCATTGCTACTAAAGAAAGAAGACTTTCATATGACAGAAACTATACCCTGATTATTTTTAATCAACCAAGAAATATATTTATGGGATAAGGAATTTATGGGACATGTTAATTTTGAGAAAACATCTATAAAGAAAAATATAACATTTAAGTGAATTTAGGACCTTACTTTTATACTAATTGCAAGAATCAGAGCTTAACCTTTGGCTCTCCTTACTATGGATCTACAAAGGATTTTGGAGTGAAATGTAATTCTCAGGATTTTTCCTTTTCATTGACATGCAATAAAATTCTTCACAAAGAATGTTTAAATTAAGAGCTACTACTAATAAAATTAATGAATTCTTCCAAAATGAATGAAATAATCACCCTAAAAGAATATAGCAAGTATGTTATTCTTTTTAGATAAGTTCCATTATTAAAATTAGTTTACCATAATACCATCTGTCCCAAGAACAGGGTTTTCTAGAAGAGGAAGACTGGGCTCTCCCTCACCACCATGCCTCCGACCAGAAAAGCACAACCACCCACCCACCCACCGTTCAAACTAAGCAAGAACTCCCAATCCTGTGCCTGTGTACCAACTGTCGTGGTACCTCTGGACTGCAACTCTTTTTCCTGTTGCACCGCGAATAGCATAGAGTTCAAGCTGCAACACAGGACAAGGATGTAACTATTTCTTGCAAGCTGGCCCCAGCCAGAGGTAGTGAAAAGTTAAGAAGAAAGCAGATGGGTGGTAGAATAAAAATGGTCACAAAAATATACCCATGCCCATACCTTTTCTACAAAGAAATGGACTTATGTCTGCACATCCACCAACCACCCCATGTCTCCTGCTTAGAGTACTCTCGAAAAACAATTTTCAGATCAATACAATTTCATCTGCTTGGTACACACTAAATTAAATAAAAAATTCGCTTGGATTTTGAAACAGAACTAAAGTTCCAAACCTGTTGTCGAGTTCTGTGTGATCAGTGCCCCTTCCTACTCCAGCGCCTTTCCGAAGCTTTGTGCATAAACTTGTCTTGCAAGTCCTCCCAGCACCAGAAACAGCATCGCTGACAGAACTGGCTGAGTCCTGCCGGCCCCCCAGCCAGTGTGTGGTCTTCGCTGTGCCGCCACACATCTCCTGAGCTGTTTAACCGTCTTCCGGTTTATCCTGACTATCAACATGGACTTGGATACAAATGTTGAAGATCCCCTATTGTTTGAGGATATTCTGCAAGGACCAGCTGCCCCAAATGATCGCTGCACTCCCTATACAGTAGGTGAGACAAGTTACTCAGCAGCAGCCTATGAATTTCCTCTTTTGAAAGTTTTTTTTTTCTTTTCAAAGGAAAAAAAGGAACATTCATTTGTTACGTAAATTAAGCTCCCCGATGACTTAGGAAGTCAGATGCATCCATCATGTTATAAAACATCTCAGCAAACCCATTCTAAACAGACAAGTCCAAATGCCACTTCCTACTTTTGCTCCTAAGTTTGTATTCCAGTTAGCAAAACAAAAAGCACTGAGCAGGTTGAGCAGCTTGGCCTGACTCACTCCATCTGCGCTCTTCTGTGGGCGATTATGCAGTAGTCAAACAGCTGGTCACAAGACCTATTCCTTTGGCTCTGGGCAAAGGCAGCGACTTGCCTTTAGCTGCAAGGTTGTTCTGACATTGGCCACACCACCCTCTTAATGGCCCTCATGTGAGCAAGTGTCAGCTGACAGGACTTACTCTGCAACCTTGCAAACTCCGCCCATGGCAAATGAGAGAGATGGTTACCCACAACAGACAAATGTAGGGTTCAATGTATAGGAAATGACCTGGGGAGGGAGGAGTGGGGACACATCCTTGCTTTAATACCAAACACATGTATTAAACTAATATGTGTGTGTGTGTGTGTGTGTGTATGTTAGTAAGAAAAATAAGAATAAGTGAGAAGCTATAAACCCTCAAAAACTTACACTGAATTCCTGACTCCTGGGCATATTCAAGCTGAGAAAGCCCTGAACTACAAGAACCCAAGGACAAAAGCAGTTCAATTTTGACTTCTTACATTCATATACTTCATCTGTAAAATGAGAATAATGTTATAGAACCAACAGGATTTTTCCATGGTATTGTGAGTTCACAGAAAAAATATCTTTTCTTTTTAGGAGAAATAAAAAGCATAGGTCCCTAAAACACAGGTCAAATCTTGATACAAAAACTACAAAGGATTGGTCCCAATTCCTTTTCCTCTTCCTCCTCATCCTCGAATTTGGCTGAAGAAAATCTTAACAGATTCCTAAAATCTGATGAACCTTGGCTGAGTCTTTAGTTTCACAAGGTTTAAAATGTACGTATCTTTATATACATGGCAGCCATTTATTTCAGTCACAAGTGTGCGAAAAATCTCATGATAGCATAACAGAGGTCTCAATTACTACCTTAAGACTTTATTACATATGTGATCCTAAAGTTCCTCTGTAACAAACCCCAAAGACTGTAAATATATCCTCCTCTGAGAAATAAAGGTCACAACAGACCTACCGCAGTGACTACACTTCTCTGAGGCATGTGTCGAGTTGGTAGTGGCGTGGCAGAACCAGGTTAGGAGGATGAGTCCATTCTTCCCCAGGAAGCGGGAACGCATGTTAAACTCAGAGCTTCACTGCATGGCCATGGTGCATCATGGGTTCTCCTTTTTTTCCTCCTGAACTGTCTTTAAAATCCCTTTCTCTTTTTAACAGAAAACTAGGAGGTCACTATGCAAGCACTCAGACCTTCCCGTATTGGGCACAGGGCGGCTCAGCGAGCAATGGCTGGCAGTGGAGCTGTTGCCACCACCAGATGCACTGAACCAGTGGCCCAAAGAGGTCCTAGGTCAGTGTCTCCAAGTCACCTAGGGTTTATCTCTTCTACAATCATAGGAGAAATGCAAGTGCAGTTCAGTGCTGATGGGGAGGGAGCTTTAAAAATGACAAAGTAACTGAATTTTATAAATGATGTAGAGGAAACACTGGGGGAACACATCCCAGTTTTATGTATAAAAATGAATTTTAGTTTCAAAACTTCAAACTCTAAAAGATATTTTTCTAGGACTTGATGAAAGGGCATGAAACCCTCTTTTGAAATATGTATTCTGTATACATTTATCGAATAGTTAGCCACAAAGCTGTTCAATAATTCTGATATTTTTACATTTTCCAAGGGCTTTCAATACTACTATAAAAACCAAGTTTTATCCCCTATCCAGGTGATGAAAATATTTTAAATGACCAGAATAATGGGAAGTGAAAATGACAACATGGTTACAAAGGACAGCTGGATGAAATAAGGATCAAACTGCACTGGGGGAAAATTCTCTTAAACAGGAACCGAGTGGCACAGGAAACTCGAACCCCTTCCGTGTGTTTCTTCATTCAGGCAGCCATCTTTAACTCAACCCTCACTATGTGCCAGTCACTTTCTCCCTCAACTCAGTCAGCACACCTTTCAGCCACCATTTCCTTGGCAGGGTGACGCTAAAACTTTAGCATGCTTATAAACACAACTCGCTGGGCTTACTCCCAGGCTTTCAGCCTCAGCATTTCTGGGTGGAGTCTGAGAATTCACATGTCTAACAAGTTCCCAGGGTGCTGCTGCTGCCGGCCTGGGAACCTTACATTTGAGAACTACTTCCCTTCCTCTGTCATAATTCCATCTTCCTCATGAAGCCTCCCTAGGCTGGAAGATTTTTTTTCTCTCTTGAATTCCTCTATAGTTTTTTTAAGCCACACTTTTAACACTTAACACATAATTGTTTTGCAATAGAGTAGTGTACATGTCTTATGATCCTAACTAGATCATACATTCTTTGAGTATAAAAACTGGGTCTTGACATTCATCTTTGTACTCATACAAGTCTTACACAGATACCCAACAGATAACATTTTGATTGGTTTAATGCCACTGAGTATTTACATTAAAACTATGATATGAATCTACTGCCACAAACAGTGGGCTGCTTTGTGCATGGACTCTGATCAGGAGGGTGTTTGTGCTCAAACACACACACTTCCTCTTTCTCTCATTTACTGTGAAGGGGAGCAGAGTTTGCTACCCCAACATGTGCCTTTTGGGGGTACTGGTTATTTTAAGCTGGTTATTTTTAAGAACTAAAAGATTCAAGAAGAGCCTTTTACCTCTCCCTTACCTGCTTAAAGGAATTCAGATAGAAAACCCTGCTTAAAGGAAGGGAGCTATCACTTTAACATAATATGAACTAAGTGTGGCACATGGGGAGGAAACCTCGCAAAGTCTATTGACTCCCTTCTGCGTCTACTCTTTCTGGGTGGCTGGCAAGAATTTGTTGACCAAATGTTTGCGCCTTCTAATCTACCTGTGAATTGCCTACCTTCTCTTTGAAATTCAAACCTCTACTCACTCACCCCACTTTCTCCTTAGCTGAAGATGGTACATAAGTTTCAACTCTCTGCTTTATCCTCAGGTCCCATAGTCTCATGGAACCCTCATATGTACATACATAATGAACTTGGTTATTTTCTTGTTAATCTGTCTCATGTCAATTTGATTACTAGACCATCCAGAAGAACTAGAAATAAAAAAGTGGGAAAATTTTTCCCTCCCTCACAAGTATAACAAAAATGTATCACTGTCTATAAACCTACTCATGGCAAAGCTATTTTCTTCACCCAGTTCAGCCGTGTTTACACATTTAGAAAAGTTCCCGCAACCACTGAGTGGACTGCACCTGCAGCTCAGTATGTTGACTGGCCCTGTTGCTGCCTCCACTGATACCTTCACAATACAGGTGAACTTTATCCAGTGTTGGAAACGAGGACCCGAGAAGTGTGGAAGTGGTATAAATCCACGTATGTAAGAAAAGGAGACAGACTACTGGTTCAACTTTTTAAACTGCATTTGCGCTGCTTCCAACCTCACAGCCCAGGTACTGAGTGGTCCCAGAGAAGAGTGCTAAGTTGCCGAGTCAAGAAATAGCATATCATTTACACCATACAAGACAAATACCTGAACTCAGGAAACCATTTCCAGTCTCCTTTGCCTACGGCCAAATTCTCTAATCAAAAGAATACTGTTTCCTGTGGTGCCCAGACTCCGTCCAAATCCTTCCGGTGCAGCGTTCCAGGGACCCACCTCCAATCCAAGATATTTGGCATTTGAGAAAAACTCCATTCCCATGACTGATTTAGAGTTGGGAGAGTTAAACTCAGGAAAATTTCAAGGTAAGTAAGTATTCATGCAACTCTGCATTCACTTGACTTCAGGCTCTTCAGGTGACAAAAAACAGTGATCACTGTATGTGAGGAAAAATTAACTCAAAAGCCAAGGCTGAAAGAGATGGGTCTGAAGAGAAGAAAAACAGAGGCCTAACATAGTTCCCCAAAAAGAACAGTCTAATTGTTCTTATCTAATGAATCTTTCTATAAAGAGTACTTCTCTGCCTATTCACACTACCTTAATGAGAAAAAAGGAAGGAAAAAAAGGAAAGGAGGCAGTGGCGGGTCATGATCTACTGCCACCACAACGGACCCTCCTCTTACTGGGGGTACAGCAGTCTCCCCATCCACAGGGGATAAATGCCAAGATCCCCAGTGAATGCCTAAAACTGTGCGGTACCAAACCCTATACGTGCTATGTTTTTTCCTATACATACATACCTATGATAAAGTTGTATTTATAAATTAGGCACAGTAAGGGATTAACAATAACTAAAAATAAAACAGAACGATAATGATATAGTGTAATAAAAGTTATGTGAATGTGGTCTCTTTTAAAATACCTTATTACTGTACTCTGTACTCACTCTTCTACTTGTGATGATGTGAGACGATAACAACGCCTACATGCTGAGATGAAGTGACGTGAGTGACACAGGCATTGTGACGTGGCGATAGGCCACTACTGACCTGACGAAAAGTCAGGAGGATCATTGAGCCATGATGATGTCATGTCTTCCATCCACAAATTTAATGCCTTTTCCACCTGAACTAAGCATTTATCACCCACTGTGGCTGTAACTTTTGCAGTGTGAGGTGCGACAGCAAAACGAGCACACATTTTTTTCCTTCTTCACAATTTCACATTAGGTTCATTCTTACTGTAGATCTTAGCAACCTCAGCATATGAGTTTTTCTTTGCTTATAAAATTGAGAACTTTCACCTTTTCACTTAATGGAAGCACTTCTCGGCTTCTCTTTGGCATATTCGAATTGCCAGCATCACTCCTCCGGCACATTGGGGCCATTATTAAGTAAAACAAGAGTTACTTGGACACAAGCATGGCGATACCATGACAGCTCATCTGATAACTGAGAAGGCTGCTAAGTGCCTAACAGTTGGGGAGCGTCCACAGCATAGAGATGCTGGACAAAGGGATGATTCACATCCCAGGTGGGATGGAGCAGAATTCTTATCACGCTCCTCAGAACACAGCATGATTTAAAACTTATATATTGTTTATTTCTGGAATTTTTCATTTAATATATTTGGACCGCTGCTGACTGCAGATAATTGAAACCACGGAAAGCAAGACCGTGGACAAGGGGGGAACTACTGTAATCCCCTCTCTTCCATCATGCCTTTTTCATACACCCATGAGCAACTGATCAAAGCCTTCCTACCAATGGTTTTCAAAGCGTCGTCCCC